GCTGGCAGATACCATTTACCAGCACATGATTGCTTTGCCTCCTGCATCATTAGGACTTCATTTTTATCATTCACTAAAACACATGCCACAATGTATGTGACAGTGTCACCTAACTTTGGTACGTAGTCCGAGGGCGCACTAGGAGCCACTCCTTGAGCCTCAGCAGCTGCGTTTTGCTCCGCTAAAGTAAAGTCGCAACACTTAGCAATTTCTGGATCAATTGCTTGACCATCTAACATGTGATTTAAAGAATTTTCCATTTTGTCAGTCACAATAAACTAAAAACTTAATTAAGAATGAAACACAATAACCTACGGTGTGGTAACACTTGTTTAATAATGTGAAACGATAATGTCATATGCCATAATAACGGTGACTACATTCTTGAAATACCGCATTCCTATGTAATTTTTTCTGTTGCTTTCTATGAGTGTACTATCAATGGTATGTATCGTGGATCAAGCATAATTTTGCGATATTATTTGATTCATATTGATATTAATTTCGTACATCAGTATGAATTTGACAGACAATTTTGACAGTTAGCTTCCATTTCCATAACAAAACATTTATTAGGTATTTATACCATAGCCAAGAAATCCTTTCTTATTTCTTATAACGCAGAACGCAGTTCGAATTTCATAGAAAAGTGAATGTTTATTGTAAGATATATGAATTGATAGAAGGAGATAAAGAAAATAACATTGTTCCTATAACATTAAATCTTTTACATAAATAATACATAAGTTCTTTCACAATTTCAACTAGAAAATGTTAGAGCTTTACAGTACTCATCAATATACTAAATTATATATATTACTGGATTTGTTTATATATATTAATGGATTTGGATTCACGGTTTTAACTTGATATCAGTCCATGGTTTTAATTTGATATTTTCTAATTAAGTAAAATTCAATAAATTAAAGTTTAAATATATAGAAAATTAATTCAGTTAAATTTTATTCAATTCTCTCTTACTGTTACAACATAGATGTATTTAGGTGTATTTTAAATTCTATCAGTATTTTAATATTAAATTGATAAAATGTTTTTGCATCTTTTTATTTAATAATAATTAATATACTACTGCAATCAAAATTTAAAAGCAAATTAAGCAATATTTTGATAATATCTCTCCAATTTTTGCTATTGGTCATGATAAAAACATAATTATTGATCATGGTCATCTTTAAAAACAAAGAATATTAAGCGAATTTAGTAATTTTTAGTTTTGAAATTTGAATTTCGCGCTTTCCACATTGTCACTTTGATTCGTTCAGTTCTTCATGGCGGATCCTCTTTGATGGCGGCCATTTTTATAGTGAATTTGACCAAATTTGACAGACGCGTGCAAATTAATTAATTTTTGTTTTTAATTATTTTCCTCATTAGTTATCATTAATTGATGCATTATATTGTTCTACTAATTATGCATATCAATTTGAGATAAAACTCGTTTGTGATGATATGTTTTTAGAGCAGATATGTGACGATGTTCTTCAGCCTTAACTTATCTCTTTCAACATTTTTAATACTTATTATTTTTATAATCAAATACTTTATTTACAGCTTCCGATGTATCCTTTATATTATTATCATTTATATTATATGCATATCAATTTGAGATAAAACTCGTTTGTGATGATATGTTTTTAGTGCAGATATGTGACGATGTTCTTCGGCCTTAAATTATCTCTTTCAACATTTTTAATACTTATTATTTTTATAATCAAATACTTTATTTACAGCTTCCGATGTATCCTTTATATTTATATTGCAATTGTCAAATATGTATAGATGTGTGTATGTGAGATTCGGAAGGCTGCAAGTACTTCTGTAATGTATCTGTCAAATTTTAGGTCGCCAATTCATTCACAAAATTCTCTAATATGTTCGTTTCTTCTCGTCGTGTCGTGTGTTGAGTCACGAAGACTCCACTTGGACATTTGCAAATTATAAATTAAGTGTATAAAGACTGTGATCAAAGTAGTGTGGTATAGTGGTTCACAAATATTCAGCTTTGGGGCTTCCAGCAGATGCTTCAGAGGATTTATTTTGAGGAGGAGATTTGGAATTAATTCTCGTCAATGTGAGTCCAAGCAAACTTTATACACAACATGTCAATGAATACTTTTCTGAAATCATAAACAGGAATTCGTTGTACAACAAATAATGCACTGATAATGTTCTAAAACATATAACAAATAATTTCTTGTATTTGTAATTAAAACAGCCTGTATGTATTTCAGTGAATATTTGTTGATATGTGCATCATTAATACTTTTTGCATATGTATCTGCTAAATGTTTATTTATTTATTTAAAACAATTGTATAGATATCTTATTGATACCGACGCTCATGTCTAAAGCTTAAATTTATTTCTCATTTCTATTTATATTACAGTTTATATATTAGTAAATTTATTTAATAAAGGTTTATATTTGGCATGAATTATGCTTAACTATATTTTATCATTTTATTTGCAATTCTAAAAACGAATAAAATACAATTTACTCTTTATTTATCTCAATTCCTACTTTAGCAGACATATGTGCAAAAATGTTGAATATCACTTGCAGGTTTGTGATACCTATCTGATATTAGACGCACTTTGTTAACTTCCTGTAGGGTAAGTTATTGTAATGGGCCAAAAATCGAAATTGAAAATTTTTACATTTCTCGACGTTTTGAAGGTTTTTGAACATTTTGGCATACCTCAGTAAAAATGGATGTGTGTGTGTGTGTGTGAGGGCGCACAGATCAACCGATTTGAATGATCCTAAAAACATTCAATTCGTAATTTCGGGGAGAAGGGGTGATTAGTTTTTGGCAAAGGCAGGTCCAGCGGTTTCGGAGATACAGTGTTAAATGTGCAAAAAATGGCAGTTTTTGAGAGAACTAAGCGTCCGATTTGAATAATTCCAAAAACTTTCTGCTTGTTTTAACAAAATAATTGACTTTGAAAAAAAAAAAAATTTCCAAAAAATTTTTTTTTGTATATCAAAAATAATTCAGATTTTTATTTTAATTCTGTTCTAATATACTTTAAACAAATAATTTCAACTTTCCAATTTAGTTTATATAATTCTTATAAATATTCGACAATGTTACAATATTTATCATAATCTATTTTAAAACATTTAATATTTCTCGATCGTTTCGTTACGGTACGGAAAGTTCTAGCAATTTGCCTTAAGGCACGATGCCATACACCTGACTAGTTTAATTGTTAAATTTGCAAGTGATATTCTATATGCATAAAAATGATTTTATACAATTCACTATGGAGAAAACATATCGATTCATTTTTGCTTTTATTCTAGCAAGTGGTATTTATACATTTTTTAAATTAATATAATACAATAGTTTTTACTTCTCATATACATTGATTGACATTAATTTATCTTCATTATACTTGCATAAATAATAAATTGAAAGGAAATGTTTCTTCGAGTTTTTCTTGTAAAAGTAACGTGACTTGATTTCGTATCATTTATTTGTTGAGCCACTTTTCGAGTGCTGAGATATATTGTTGTTAATTTGCTACTCTAATGACAACTCTATCTTCAACGAATGTTTTGTCTGAATATCATTCGTGTATGGGATATACAGAAGGGGCCCTGGCATCCCTCCTTGTACAATTCCTAAATTAATGGTATTTCAGGTAGAACTCTAGTTCTGAAGAATCTGTCTATCAGATAACATTTCAACAACAAATATATTTCACATGGCAAAGATTTTTAGTACCAAGAATCATGCGTTTTCTCTGTAGTGATATTGACTGCATGTTCATTCTTATTAATGACAACACGATTGATGGCTTTGATCAAAATATTTAAGACTCAATTATGACTATCCTAATAGTTATTGATTAAATGCAACTTTTAAAGACTTTCATTGTAATTTTGTTTCAAATTTATTTAATTATATTGCTACTTTGCTAAATATAGATTTTTATTCTTTTATTTCTAAAGTCAATTTTGATCAAGACATGCAATCGATGATGGTTCGATTAATTCATATGTTGAGAATTGAATTAAGAATTGCTCAACATGTTGATTATTTGTCTCGCCATATATAATTAGACTTTACTCAATACTGCATTAACTCAATAGATTTTTATATAAGTACAATTTATTCTATAATTGCTTTGGCTACTTCTTTAAAATATATTTTTTTGATATTTATAATTTTGTTCTGTCAAAGAGATTTTATTATTTGAGTTGATGTGGCTTGATTAAAGTTTTAAAGAGTTGATTTGAATAAAACAAAATTTAATTTTAATCACAAGTACATTATTTCATTCATTATTTAGTCTTTGAATTCTAAAAAAAATTAAAATAAATAAATATATAAATAATTTTTAAAGTTTTCAGTTTATAATTTTTTAGCTTTTATTTTTAAAGTTTTGTTGAATTCAAATCAACTAAAATTGTTTTTGTCTTGAATGATTGTAAAGGTTTCACATGTTCAACAATTTTGATTCGATTAAGATAATTTCTTGGATTTGATTAACATCATATGATCTGTTAATTAAATAATTCTTTCTAATAATTATTTTAAAGTCAAAACTTTTCTGAAACTTCTTCGATTTTATTAACATCAATCCAACTTTTAATTAAATAATCCTTTCGATTAATTTTATCAACGCAATATTTACTGAAACCTTTTCGATTATGAAAGACGAGTTATGTATGCATGCTATATCATCCCGAAGCCAACATTTGAATGAATGAGACCCACATTGAAAATTTCATGACGAGAAAATTTTATTGGGGCAAAGTTAAAAATTTTAACTAAGTCCCAGTAATTTTTTCTCGTTGTGAAAATTTCAAAGTGGACTTCATTTCATTCGAGTGTTGGCTTTGGGAATTGGTGAGAGGGAACACTAAAAAACATAAAAAAGTTTCAACGCTGAACAGAAAAGAGAAAAATTCATCTGGGACTTAGGGGGGTTTTTTTTAGGTCCTCCACCTCCCCTTCTCCCTCCTCCTCCTCATTTTTCCCTTTTTTTTCCTCTTTTTTCGCTTTTTTTTTTACATTTTTTTTCCTTTTTTGGTGTTGTTTTTTTCGCGTGTTGTCGTTCTTGGGTAGATTTCGGGTTTGGCATGGATCTTCCGCAATGTGTCCCTCTGCGTGTGACCTGTCGCATCATGAACCTCAGGTTGACCATCACTTTGTGTGTTCGTTTCAGGACCCACCGCGCCTGCCAACAGCCAGCACCAGCACTGCTCCATTTTTTCTGCTTCAGAGTTGGTCGTCGTTGCCTGCAGTTGGACTCGATCCGTCTCACCTTGTGCCTCAGAGCGATTTCACCGAGTATGCGGTCACTTAAACCACTCGGCTATTTGAGTTATTGATGATAATAGTTATTTTTATCCTCATATTGTATTAATATTGAATTTGAATAAAAAATATGTATCATACACATCTCTCTTATTCATCATCTGCCTCTACCCCTCTCTTTCCCCAGTGCTTCTACCTTTTTTTTTTTTTCTCTTTATGTATTTCTCTTACAGTCAAGTGCGAACTTGAGTTTTTTGTTTTTCAGAAATATCTAAGTGTCAAGGTCGAAATGCGACACCTGAATTTAATATTTTGAACTAATATTTGATAACTATGAAAAACTATACATTTGATTTTTTGGCCTTTCGGAATCGAACCGAGACACGCTGAGCAACCGTAGTGGCAATTAACGATCTCGGCCAATTGGTTTTACAAACCTGTCTTTTGTAAAAATATAAAGTTTATTTTCAAATGAAAGATATAAGTTTCCTAAAAATGTTGTATGCCAAATGTGCGAATGGCCGAGGTCGTAAAGCTACGGTTTAGGCCAGAATAACAAATCGAGGTTCGCCAGTTCGACCCTCATTTATATAAAAAAAAATTGAATTCAATCATTTTTCTTACTGTGTAAATAAATAAGATATATAGATAAATAATTGAATTTATTGAGTGTCAGTATTACAAAAATCGACATAATATATATGCATATATAAATATATATATATATATATATATATATATATTAAATACGCATGTATATATATATATATATATATATATATATATATATATATAAAAGATAAGAATTAGTAGGAGGATAATTTTTAATAAATTTATATTCACGCCTGGTTAGCAGTAAACCAAACCTACTTTGGTGTAATTTAAAAATCTTATTATTTTTTCCTTAAAAAACCGGTCTATCAGGGGCACCCAAAATTGGCCAAAATCGTGACTTTCAAATGCAATTTTAAGGCCCTTAATGAATGAAATTGATAATTTTAATGAATGCATTGTGTAGACTAAATTACAATCTTTATACCAAAGCAAAAAAATTATAAATTTATCATCGTCTTCATAAGTTAAAATCAGCTTCAAAGTTGGCAATTTTTCAAACTTCAAATTGGTCACAGGGGCAGAATTTTTTTTTTTCCAAAAACTGATTTCATATTCGGAATCAGCGCCTCGAAAACTATCAAAATCGGCCAAAACATTTTGAAAATTGCGAAAATAATGTTCATTTTATTACTAAAATTTTGAATTTGCAACCAAAAATTTCGATTTTTTTCTTAAGTATGCAGATTTATCTAAAAACGGATAACATTTTTAAATTCATCGATTCCAAATCTATCAAAACCAATCAAAACATTTTGAAAATCGCGAAAAAACACTCGATTTTTGAAAAAAAAAACGACTTTGCAACCAAAGACTTCGATTTTTCGCGGGGTGTACGTGAATTTATCCAAAAAGGGATAGCATTTTTGAAATCAGCGTTTTAAAATCTTTTGGAATCAGTCCAAACATTTTGAAAAGCGTGAAAAAACATCAATTTTTATGATAAAATTACGATATTGCAAACAAAGATTTCGTTGTTTTGCGGTGGTACACCTTCTGAAATCATGATAATTTCGTCCTTTTCTTCAAAAAGACTTTCTCCAATTCGTTGTCTATCAAATTTCCTCTCCTATATGAAAGACCCAGGATTTAAGGCATTTTTCTAAAATATAAGCACATAGAATAAAAATTTATCCTAAATAATTATCATGAATTATTTACATTTAAAATAAGAGTGTAAGTTTAAATGTATTTAAAAAAAAATCCGTGGTTTTAATTTGATATCATTTTCAAATTGAGTAAAATGAATTTAAAGGAACCATGAATAGTTTTAACTTGATATTTTCAATTTGAGTAAATTGTGTCTTTAAAAAAGCGGTCCATGATTTTAACTTGATATTTTCGAATTGAGAAAAATGATTGTCCATGGCTTTAGCTTGGTATTTTATAACATATATTCTAATTGAAAATAAGCCCATCTCGGGAACTGCGGTGTAAAATGGAAATAGGAAAAACGCTCACACTACTTCTTCCCTGAATCTAGTTTGAGTTTAACTACCAATTATTTTATTATAAAGTTTAAAATACAACATTTAAAAAATAACAATTATTTTTACACCGTTTAATGGCGTTATAATTCCACATATAAAAATCACAATATCACGTAGTTATAATTTATAATACATTACATTTCAATTTTCGTGCGGCATTTTCCTTTTGCAACACAGCTCGAACTGCCTTTATGAAAACAGTATCCACATTTGTATATTCAAGTGCTGAACATTCTACAAAATCACTTGATCGGATCTTTTTGTGCATTGATTGACCTTCTTCAAATGTCACCAAACCATGGGAGTTAGAATTTCTCAAATCGATTTTAGTTGCTGCAAGAAATTCAAGCGTAATTTAACTGGTGGGAGTTTACATAAAACTGTTTCACCTACCGATTAAGATTATTGGTGCTTTTGGTGAATAATGCCGAATTTCTGGATACCATTTTGAATGCACATGGTCGAAACTATCGCGACTACTAATTGAGTAACACAGCAGGAAACAATCAGTCTGTAATTTTGTAATACTGATTGTCATATCAATAATGTTTATGTATACATATACATATATATATATATATATATATATATATATATATATATATGAATATGCAATTTTTCTTCTAGCGCCACCATCCCCTCATTATTTTATCTGTTTTAACAGTTTATCGTTAAAATTATAAGAATATTTACGTTATTTTTTTAAATACTTTTTAATAACTGTGGATTTAGTACACAAAAAATTAGATATATAATATAAAAGCCCTTTGATTTTAAATTTATTTAGAATATCGTGGCGATACGCGAATTCTTCATAATCACTACCAAACTACTTCTAAATTCTTATTTTTAATCTAAACTTTTTAGGACATCCAAACATTTCAGAATGTTTATTATTGCTTGAAATAATATTTTTTTAAAAATTTATTTATTTAGGAGATTTTATGCGATTTATTCTATTAAACAAATCATGGTGCTTTATGTTGGATTATTTTATTTTGATTTTTCCTTATTTAAAATATCCAAAATTGAATCTTAAATATTGCTCAAATATTAGTGAAAAATACAAAGAAATTATATGTTTCTTGAATTATATTGAAAAAAAAAACTATATTAAAAATTTCATTTCCAAATCTCGTTTTGGCGCCCCCTAAGGCGTGCGCCCGCATTTTTTGCTTGCATCGCATTCAAGGTAGGACCGGTCCTGTATATATATATATATATATATATATATATATATAATATATGTATACATATAAGAAAAATGTAAGTAATATCGATAGATATGAATTTAACTATCTTTATCATTTATCATTTGCCATAATCTAGGAAAATTTTAATAGATTATGCTAATATTAAGAGAAAATAAAAAACATTGTATATTCTTACATTTGGATAAGAAAGTGGCCGCAACCTATCATAATCCTCCTGACCTGATGTATCCCAAACATTCAAAATGTGTGTGCATCCATCTACTAATATGTTAGCTGTGTAATTTTCAAAACTAAAATCAATATATAAATGAAAAACTTATAACAACGAAAGTCATTGTTAATATTCAGATTTTACTCACACTGTAGGTATATATTCACAAGGAAAAACTCCTTTAGTGTAAGTTATCAGTAAGCAGGTCTTCCCAATAACGCCGTCTCCAACTGCAGTAACTCTTATAGATTTCTTTCGTTCTTCTGCCATTTGTAATGGTAATGTATTCTCATGCAATTACTTAGATCAGTAATTGTGAAAATGTTACCCATAGAACTTTTTGTTCAGTAACATTGACATGTCAGTATGTAGAAAGACAAAATACTACATATCAAATGAATACAGAATTTATTTCGGACCATGTAATAAATTTTGAAAAATAGAATTATGATCAATTACATGCTTTAGATACGTTATCAGCATTTAACAGATATCTTTGATAAATATATACGGTTCTTTCGTTTTGTATCAGGCAGACTATAAAAGTCATTTTTAAATGATAAAATATTGGTGGTGTTTAGTATACTCTGGAAAAGGTATTTCAAATTATTACTTGTAAATTTTAAAATAAATAAATTATAATTATTGAATTAATCATATAATAATTGTTAATGAAATGAACGCAATTTAATCTACTTTTGCGTTAAAATGCAATAAAAATAAAATGGACATGATGTAAAGTATTGAGCAACAAATAAATTCTGAATTAAATAAAATTTATTTCATTTGTACAAGTGAAATCTTTCAGCCATTCCTACCATTAAATATAATATCAAGCATCTGATACAATCATTAAATGTAATTAAATTATTTATTGATAATCATATTAAATAATATTCATCGGATTTGTAATTAGTACTAACAATAAGATAAAAAAATAATACATGAAAATGAAAATAGGACAGCCTAATGATAATAGTCTAAACTCAGCTTAATTATTAAAACTCATTTCAAATAGCGCATTTCTAGATAATTTTATTAAGTTTTCGGCAGTATATCAATTTTATTTATACTATAAAAGAAATAATTCATGCTAGAAATATT